AATAAAACATATTTTACAGTAATTCCTTTTATTCGATAATGTATTATCAAAATGGATAAACATACTCAATTCAGTGATCAGTAACATGTATATGAATATACTCCTGTATAAATCATAAATATTAGGATTTAAAGAACTATGTCAATATATACAAGAAGAAATATATACAGAAATTATATTTACAAAATATATCAACCAATAATCTGCTCATAACTATTCTTAAAAATATATATTAAAATTATAAAACATTCCTGACAGTTTAAACAGAAAAACATGATACCTAGGATCAATATCAACTATTCAAGCAAGATACAAATATTCAGGGCAGACAATTCACTTTTGTAACTTAAATATCAAACTTAACACTGGCATGATTACACTAAATATAAGAAAAAATCGATCAAGTAGTATTTAACTTGAACAGAGCAGCCAACGGGCTGCCCGAAGATCATAGCCAAAACTTTCGAACTGTGTCAAAAGTGGAAAATATATCTAATTTTCCTCGTCATCTTAAAGGTTTTCTTTTGAGGACAGATCACTGTTCTTATAGGTACTATAAACGTATATGCGAGGCATATCCACAAAGTAAAAGTCCTAAGACTCTGATGCTCTGTGGTTTTTGGGAGCAGAATGCATTTGTCTCAGTCAGTTGAGAACAGTTATTGTAGTGGCATGTTGAAATGAATGACGCTATTCCAGATCACACCAGCTGTGAGGTGGCGTAATCCGGTTTTTTCTTGCAAAAGAGAAAGGCGCCATTCCAGATCTCGAAATCAAAACTGTTTATGAGGATGGTGTAATGAGTCGTACAAATGCGTGCAAGTAGTGTCATGAACTGACAGAACGAATGTTCATGATGAACAAAGGAAAAAAATCATGGCAATTGTTTTGGGACTGTAAAGGGATTCTCCTCATTAACATTTTGCCCCAGAGGGAAACAATTAATGCTGCGCGGTACTGTGAAACCCTGAAAACACTTTGGAGGGCGATACAGAACAAAATAAGGGAAATGTTAACAAAGGGAGTGTGCTTGTTGCATGACAATACACATCACACACAGCCAACGCCACAAAGTAACTCTTGGATTCATTCTGTTGGAACATTGTCAACCACCTTGCTCACAACCCAGACTTGACACCTTCTGATTTTCATCTTTTTTCTTCTCTGAAGGTGTTTATAGGAGGAAAAAGGTTGTCTACTAACGATGAATATATAAAATTTTCATACACTGCCTTTTAAATTTTTTTTAAATTGAGTACTTTTTGTGGATATGCCTTGTATAATATTTATTTGCTTCACAGTCACTTCCATTTGAATAAGGCACCCCCAAACTATATTCTTGATGTGCCAGTGAACTTAAAAGTATCTGTAATATATTTATTAGCACAAGTGGCACAAAAAAAAACTAATATTTTTTTCGTGTCTCTTGTGAAAATATGTTAGTTTATCATGTTTCAAGAGCCCCCTCAAAAATCAGTTGAAAAAAATTTTTTTAGAGGTCGCTCAAGATTTTTAAAAATTTCCAAAATCGTCAAAAATTGAATTTTTCTGTTTTAAATTTTTTTCTCATTATTTTATCATTGGTAGAAAAAAATCTTGATTCTGAAAATTTCAAATCGATATTTTAATTTTTAAAAGTCACTCATAATTATTTTAACTTTCAAAGTAATGTACTTAAAATGTTTTCAAGCGACCTAAAAATAAATGTCAACGAACTAATAATTTTTTTTATTAAATATGATGAACAAAAGAATAAAAATAAATCACGACACTTAAATTTAAAAAAATTAAAAAATTATAAACATTTGATACTCACAGTGTGGTAGTAAATTTTGCCTCGAGATTTTTTAAGTGTCTTGTGATTTATTTCTATTCTTTTGTTCATCAAATTCCATAAAAAAAATTATTAGTTCGTTGATATTTATTTTTAGAGGTTGCTCGAAAATATTTTAGGTACACTACTTTGAAAGTTAAAATAATTATGAATTAGAAAATAAAATATCGATTTGAAATTTTCAGAATCGAGATTTTGTTCAACCTAGAAAATGATAAATAACGAAAAAATATTTTAAAAAATAAAAATTCACTGACAATTTTGGAAATTTTTAAAAATCTTAAGACCTCTAAATATTTTTTTTAGCTGATTTTATGAGGGGGTTCTTAAAACATAATTAACATATTTTCACAAGACACGAAAAAAAATATTTTTTTTTTGGGCCACCTTAATATTTATCACTGAAAATTCATAATTTTTTAACTAATTGGCCGCTAAAAACTCATCAGAATCTTTAGTTCTATAAGTTAACAACTTATTGTGCTGTTGATCATACTAAAAATGATTTAAACTTCAAAAACCTAAATATTAGGTGTAAACATTATTAAAAAGAAAACACTTTTTTAAATTCTTAAAATCACTGTCTTTTCGAGTTATTTTTTATTCCAGAAGTTCAGAATTTACATTTACTTTTTTTTCTGGAACTTTCAGAGCTGGATTTTTGTCCCAATTATTAACAACTATGTTATACAATAATTGTTATTAAATAATGTTCTAATAAATCATTATTTAGTCATATTCAAAATTTTAGGCGTTTAAAAAATGCATGCAAATTAACACCACACTATAACAACAAAATACTGAATTTGATATAGCTTTTCCTAAAGGTAATGAAATTATATTTTTAAATAAAAATCTTTCCCAATAAACATGAAATCAAGAATTTTTTAGTGAAGATATCACAAAAAAACAAAACTGTCTGCACCCTACTAAATTATGTTAGAAAAATAAATAAAATAATTTCGGTATCATACAATTTTTTTATATGAAAACTCTAAACAGTTTAATAGTGTAACAATTATCTAAAAACAAATTGCTACAGTGTTACATAACAATAGTTACACAAGGTATTTAATCGAAGGAGCACGAATGATACCAGTTAATCTTGAGACCAAAATATGAAAAAGCCAAATATACCTTAGTCTACAGTTTCTTGAATTACGTGTTACAGGGTGTTTAAAAAAAAACACTTCTCCAACTGTGAAACCAGTCAATTAATCATCTATAAATTTTGCATGAGCTAGAATAATATCACCCTTTATTACCTGAAAATTTCAACAGTGAACATCATGGCACTTTCCAAAATTAGAAAAGTTACAGGGCTGGCTAAAATTATATACATTGTATAATTTTAGTGTTTCGATGATTTTATTATTTATAAAAATTAATAATTTCTTTCATTTCATCGATGGTTTCAGAAATGTAATAACACGTCACTGCAGTTAGACAGGATGATCCATAATAACGATACAGCACTTAATTTTGGACAACAGTAGCCAAAATATTAACATTTTGCTAATTATGACTTTGTGAAACATATATGTGAAGACACAAAATAAATGTTAAAGCTGAAATATTTTTTTCTTTGTAATTTAGTGTGTTTGAAATTTCCCATGAGTGTTGAGAGGTGAGGATTATTTGAGGTGTGAAATCATAACATAATTTCAGTTTTGCTTTAGCTTGTTGGGGATGATATGTTAAAGTTTTAAAAGGGTCATAACTTCTCTACCCCATTGTATTACTTTTTTTACACCTTCTTAATAAAAAGGTATACTTGTTTCAACTTTCTTTCGAATGATTAATCTTCTATATATGTATATAAAAATCAATGTTAGTCTGTGCGTCACTCAAATACCACTCGATCAATTTAGCTCAAATTTATAGGTAATGTTCGACACAATACCAGAAAGGTTTAGAACATAGACCACCTAGACTGGCTGTGTCTAATTTCGATGCACGGATACCAGTGAATGCAAATTGTGGGGAAGTGGAGTGTGCGAAGCAATCTGAACCCGCTTACTTCGAACGGGTCCGGATTAAGCAATATTTTAAGTTTTTTAATAAATAATACACAATTTTATTTTTCTGTAGCTTGGGTGTACTGTTTTAGTTATTAAAAAAAAAATCTTTTTTCTATTTCTTAAATTGTCATTTTTCTTTTTTAAATGACATTTATTTTTTGGGGTTTATCTTATTTTTGTTTTATTTTTTGAAAAAATGATCTTGAATCTTTTCATTATCCGTGGTACTACTTAGGTCAGAATATGACGACTATTGAGGCTGTTCATAAAAAACTATTAGTGAAAATAATTTTTATAAAATTATGTGGTAAGCATAAAAATATTCACTAAGTATTGGGAGAGTCCTACATTGCAGTCCAGGCAAATGTTACAGCAGTGTTCTAGATCAAACTTGAACACACTGTGCATATACATTAGGGTGTCCCAAAAAAAACGAATATTTTTTTTTGTGTGTCTTGTGAAAATATGTTAGTTTATCATGTTTTAAGAGCCCCCTCAAAAAATCAGCTCAAAAAAATTTTTTTTAGAAGTCGCTCAAGATTTTTAAATATTCCCAAAATCGTCCAAATATGAATTTTTTTTTCTCGTTATTTTATCATTTTCTAGGTTGAAAAAAATTTCGATTCTGAAAATTTCAGATCGATATTTTAATTTCTAAAGGTCACTCATAATTATTTTAACTTTAAAAGTAGTATCCCTAAAATGTTTTCGAGCAACCTCTAAAAATAAATATCAACTAATAATTTTTTTTTATTGAATTTGATGAACAGAATAGAAATAAATCACGAGACACGAAAAATTTTTCGAGATAAAATTTACTGCCGCACTGTAAGTATCAAATGTTTATAATTTTTTAATTTGTTAAAATTTAAGTGTCTCGTGATTTATTTCATTCTCTTGTTCATCAAATTAAAATAATTATGAGTGACCTTTAGAAATTAAGATTTTTTTCAACTTAGAAAATGATAAAATAACGAAAAAAAAATATTAAAAAAAATTCAATTTTTGACGATTTTGGAAACTTAAAAATCTTGAGCGACCTCTAAAAAAATGTTTTTGAGCTGATTTTTTGAGGGGGCTCCTAAAACATGATAAACTAACATATTTTCACAAGAAACACGAAAAAAATATTCGTTTTCTTTTTGGCCACCCTAATGTACATATAAAGTATAATTACTTATTATTTCTGGTAGATTTAATGTGGGAACTGCATTTTTTGCTAATTTGCGGACTACATTTTAGTTGAAAATAAAAAAATTTTCTTCAGAGTGACTAGAACATATACGTGAAAATTTTGATGGTACCCAATCCTGTTTTTTAAAAGCTTTCACCTACCTGTACTTTATGTCAACATCCTTTGGAAATCAATAAAAATTGAAATATTAGATTCAAAAAATCGAATCAAGTATAAAAATTTGGTGTAATTATTTATTTTACCATAAAGAGGTGCTGAACATGAATTTGAAATTAATTTGGGCTACCGACAAGGCTCCCAACTGCCTTCATCATAATCGCCCTATAGCCAGTCTAGGTGGTCTATGGTTTAGTAAGTAGTTTGAGCAATTTCCGATAGGTGGCGCTGTGCATTATTACTATACAATATTAACAATGCATTGAAATTTTGTAATAATGGGGATACGAAGCAAAGCACGATTCAATTAAACAAAAATAAATATTTTGTCTCCTTAGTTGTACCACTAGCTATTAAACATGTCAAATTTGAAGATAATTAGTCCTTTGGTTTCACAGTAAAAAACAAAAGTGTGTACTTTAATTTAAACGTCTTGTAACTTGCTAATAAAGCAACTTTGGACTATCATATTTTGGCTTCTAAATCATCTGATAGCACTTGTATTCCTTCATTTATACACGCCATATTTATTTAAACAAATCAGTTTAAACATTTAAGGAGTAGGAGAGGTAACCCAATTTTTATATGAGATTGATGGGCATTACATCGTCATAACTAACATTTTCCTAACTACTCACAAATTATTATCCATTTCTCACACTCATCCTAGTTTTTCCTTAGCAAGATAAATACATGTTACATGTAATATAAACATCGGCTTCTACGTAAAGGAAAATAAATTATTTAAGTGGAAACTAGGTTATTTTCACTGGTATTAGTTTTAACTTCTGGGTCCTTTTTGTTCAGTTTGGCCCAAGTGTCACCGAGCGCCTTAGCAAAGTGGTCGTCCACGGACAACCCTGTGCTATCCATCAGTTCGATGACGTTGGTTGGTGTCTTTGGGGGTGATTTTGGGGCACATTGCTCTTTGGTGAGGTTGTTGTTTTGGAAGAGAGTGTGGTAGTCGTTACCCAAAGATCTTCTGAAGTGCTCGTCTATAATGGGATCGCACATGGAAATACCTACAATAAAAAAAAAGAGTAATAATTAGGGAATGTTACAAAATCTTAAACTATACAAGATGTCCTTCAATTGCCGAACATTTTCAGGGTGTTCCCTGATCAAAATTTACAAATAAACCAAAGGTCAATGGGAAATTTGCATATAATTTTTTAAATATCTAGAAATAATCTATAACCTTACATAATCATGTAGTGAAATATTAGCAATCTCTTAGAGGTTGTTAATTAATAATTAAATATTTAAGTTAGGGGCGCAAAATAAAGGTTTAGAACGGGTGTTTTTTCGCCGAGCTAATTCGTTACGTCATTTAGTGCGATCGATAATGGATTAGATGAATGACAAGATCGGACGGCCAGACAGTATACAAAAAAATAGTGCACTTTTGTTGATTCTCAGTAAAAAAAAAAATGAAATTAGGTCTGATTCGATTTTTCTGCATGTAAAACGTGCCAAAACGACCTAAATCGTAAAAATGATTCCATTAGTTACCACTGGCTACGTTACATGAAAAACGCGCATGCTCAGGGGAGTCTCAAAGCAAAGTGGGTTGCTGTTTCTAGACCCTAGTCAAATTTATGCAAAAGAAATTAAATTTTCATGCATGTTGCCTAATCTGACTTCTTATAAATATATCACAGCCTAAAGAAGATTTGTTGACGATGGTTTTTTTAAATACTCGCTAAACTAATGGAGTGTCGGTATCTAATTTGGTAAACATTTTTAGATATTGGCAAATCATACTTATATTTATTCACAAAACAAATGGATTGTAACATGTTTTGTCATAAAAAAGAAATATACAATTTTCTTTTTAAAAATATGAGCTTAGATCCTACAGCATAAAAGAGTGATGGTAGTTGAGAAAGTTATTATTCTACAAAAATTCTGACAAAGGAAAATTTAAAAATATATAATTACATCACAGTTATATCCAAGAGTAACACGTCAATAATCTAGTCAACAAAAAAATTGCGAATAGCGAAGTTTTAACTGTAAATTAGTGATAATGCTAAGTACAAAATTCAAAAAGTTTCCGCGGTTCTGGTGGACCAATCCTTTTTTTTCGAAAAAAAAAACACTAGACAAAACTTGCTGCTTGATTTTCCCATTTTTCTACTGAATCCGAGAAAAAAATAGTTAGGATTTAAAATAATCACTATTACATTCTACATAAAAAATATTCTATAGATCATTTGCTTAATCCGCACTAGATTCACAAAAGTCTATCGAAGTTGAGATTGCTTGAATTATGCTACCGAAAATCTGTGTACCGGATTTTTACGATATAATATAATCTCAGAAACCGCTACTTTTACAAGGAAAATGATTATGAAGAAAATTGTAGAGGGACATCTCCACTACAATATACAAATACTGTAATTTGTTTGTTTTCAATGTTTTTTTCTGTTTTTCACAATTACGTTTCTCCTTATTGTGCTCGTTTTCGCATAATAGGAATTTATCTTATTGTTGACACTTTGATCCCCATAAGTAATTTTTGATGACTTCACAACTTTGTGAATATATTGTGAAGTGTCTACAGTAATAGATAACGATTTGAAAGTATGCTGTAATATTGCCTGGATTGCCGCCAAAAACTTCGGCATTGCAACGTCCATACTTATATGGATTCATCAAATTTAGTCACAGCAAGAAAAAAATATACGCAGGGAATGCAATGAGGTTGGAAAATACATAGTTGGTAATATTTTATCTCCTGTTCTAATATCTGAGACAGCAGCTCCATCTTCCATATACAACTATTTATTGTAGTTGTGAAGGAAATGTGACTTTCTACAAGTTGGACTGGCGATAGGCTTTCAGGGGAAACCACTACCTTATGGGTAGTGTAAAAATGAATTCAAATCACGTGAAACATAATTGTAAAAAAATGAGAGAAACAATAAAAATTATGAAATTGCAATAAGAAATACCGTTGCATCATTTTCCTCGTAAAAATAATTGTTTTTGAGACATTCGCAGCAGAACGCGTTACTCAGATATACGGTTGCGCGCTTCAAGCAGCCCTCAACTTCGATTGACGTTTGCGCAAATCCTGTGAGGATTGGGTAAATAATCAATAGAACATTTTTCATGCAGAATTTAATGGAGATTTTCCTTTTATTTCTGTCGTCGGAGCAACGGTTTGGCAAAATGAGAAAATAGGCAATAACAAGTCTCCTTTATTTAAGCAGTTTATCCCGAAAAGGAGTTATCTCAACTTATCAGAATGGTAAAAAGGATTCATTCCTAAAATTAGAAACTTATAAATTATTTTCGCTAAAAATGATAATTTGACTGTACTACAAGGAATGTTCTGATATTTAGGTTCAGAGATAAATGTTTCTAAAATATTAAAGTATTTAAAACATTTAACGAATTGTGAGTACTCACATAATAAATGAGATAATCAATTTTAAAAGGGAACAATATTTATTTTATTATATTACATATCTAAAATGTAACTGATTTCTTTGAATCTTTAGTGTTAGGCTACAACTACACATGCAGTATTCGCCGAATACGAATGTGTATGTGATATGTGTGAATACGATCGAATGTGTGAATATTGTACCGCTAAAATGTTTACCGACTTTAATGAAACATTTATATGTAAAAATGAACACAACAGTCATGGACGTAGGTTGCTAGGGGGGAGCAAGGGTGTGCACGGCCCACCTCAGAGAACCCTGTCTCCACCTCAGAAAAAAAGATCTAATATTATCATCTTTATCATATCGGTAAGTCGGTGACTGCGTAGACTTTTTTTTTGGAGGCCTGTACAGAGTATGCAGCCCTGGACCCACCACAAACAAAAATTGTAGCTACGCCCATAACAACAGAGTCTTTCTGGATGCTATTGTTTATTTAATTTCAAACTAATAACATTACGTGATGATATATTTTTGAATTTTATTCCAAAATTATGTCATTTTAAGGGTCAAATTATTTTAAATTATAACTGACACTCATTCTACACGATCAAAACATAAAAAAACGGTAATTTTTTTAAAAAAGATTTGAGGATATAACATATTTTTTTGTGACTATAAATATGCGTCGGTAATAGCTAAAAACAAGTACCAAATTTAGCACTGATACTTCATCAAGTATAAAGATATTTAAAAAAAACTCGCAGTGTTGTGCCCCGTTGACACAACAGCAAGAGTTAGAAGAGACACATCGCGAGACCTGGGAACTTGTGATGAGTTTATTCAGCAAACTTGTAGGTAGTTTTCGAGAATCAATAGTCTACAAACTGTTCGTATCAAAACTGAAATTAAGAACTAAGGGCGAATCTGCATAGCATAAAATTTATATTTCTATGGTCTTAAAAATTAATCGGATTCCGTCCCGTTTTCCACGTCATGCAGATATGGGAATTGACGATAAATTAAGTTCTTTACCTTGCAGATTTAACTTAATTTTCCGACAACGGAACCGATTTGAATAAAAGAAAGAAAATTGTTCATACAAGAGTGCGATATAACTCGACTATTTTGAAAGCTACCAAGTTGTCACTGACATGTTAGATTTGTCTGCTTAAGATAAATTAAAGAGGTCTCATTCACTGCTATTCGATTTCTTATTCTAGGCCAATAAATATAAAAAATTAAAAATTAAACTATTTGATGCAATATCAATCAACATCGTTTTAATGTGTCTGGTAATGAAGATCAAATGGTATGATTCTTCTATCATGTTCGTAGCCAAATTTTTATAGTAAAATGGCACATGTACTTTCATTTTACTTACAGTATTATTTCCAGATATCAGAAATTTAAAAACTGAAAGTAATTGTTTTCGAATCCATAATATATGTATTGCACTTTTAGCCTCATACATATATCTACAATGTTTTTTACTACCATCAAGCAGCTGGGTACACGATACTTAGCTACTTATAATTTTATCATTAGTCAAAGGAAAATATTTCGCAATAATTGCCAATAGATTGTAAGATTGAATTGTATGTAAATATTGTTGTCTAGTGTGATGATTTCAGTCTATTTATATAAAATTTCCTTTTGTATCCACTAGAACACTCTTCTAAAAAACTTATAAAACAGGTCTTCTTTCATTCAATTTGTATATGTTATTTGATTCTTTAATCATTTTTCATTCTTAAATTGCGGAAAATAAATAGCAGGAAACTGTTTTTGAAAAATTATTTCATATCAAAAGAAGATAATTTTTACTGTACCGTGCGAATAAAAATAGTTGTAGTCATTAGCTATGTTCCGAACCCTATAAGTATGCATATTATTAAAAATTAAATATGGAAAGTTGAACCTACAATGTAATATACTTGACGTAATTTACGACTCAAGACAACAACAATAACAAAGAATAACATTTGGCAAATATTCCTTACAATTTTTCTGTAAAACATACTTCTCTGTTGTTATGTGCATACGAACGCTATTTTTGCGATTTCACACAAATAATTTCACATTAATTCTAACATGAATCAGCCTTTATTGTAAAATTTAAAACTTGAAATGGTCACGTGACATATGTGAAAGGTTTCTGAATAAAAAAATAGTAAATTTGAAGTCATTGATATAGCATCTCTCTATCTTACCTGGTTCGGAACTTAGTTGCTACACTATTAAAATTATGTTAAATTTAATCGCTTTAAGTCGTACGAATAAGTTTTTCCGAAGTCAATTGAAAAACCAATATCACCAAGATATGTACCAGGCTCGGTCACTAAACAGCAACTCGGCATTGAAATATTTGAAAAACTTGTTCCCACATTTATTTAACCATACCCATATACAGATCTGGTCGAACAATGAGCATGCGGGCAAAGAGCAATGCGCACTGTTTCTCTAGTCCATTGCGTTGTCAAAATTCAGTTGTCGACTAGTCGTCTAGCAGTGCAGTGCGGGAATGCGGAATTTGGTGTGATTCAGATAATTTTAGTTTATTATAGGCACCCTTCTATTAATCATTCATATTACAATTGCGAAAGGGATATTTGGTTTACTAATATTATTACAACATGGCATTTTGGAGACCTTTTGAAATGGAACAATATACCATCAATATAATAAAATTGTTTGAGGACATAAATAATTAAAATATGTTGTTGGTCAAATGAACATATAATAGAAATTTTCTACACATTATATAAAAATTATTATAATTTTCTACTTTTAGCAGAAAACTTTTTTAGGGACGCCCATGAAACTCATTAAATTTGATTGCTCGTTTTTTTATGCATGTTCAACTGACTTCGGAAGAACTATACCTATATTACTTATATCTATCACAAGCAGTCTCTAGTGCTAAACCAACTTAATGGGCGTGCGATTCCTTTTCAGTTTATTTATATTGCGAGGGGTGTCCGAAAATTAACTCGTAAAAACCCTTGTATTATTAGAGATATACGCAGAAACTGTCCAAGCAGTAGTAATGTCAAACGAGAGAGAGAGAGAATCTTGGCTTCGCTTATTTATTAACAAAAGTTACCATATAATTCATATGAATATATGTTTTCAGGCTTTCACAACCCGTGCTGTTATTTGGAGTCCATGGTTTCCTGAATTATGCCGTTATATATTTACCTTGTCGCCGACAGTTGCAGACTTATAATGCGCTTCCTTAAAGTCAGCAAGAAATTTTTTACTTATTATTCTTAGGCTAGGCTCTGTAGGGGAGGACCCGCTGTCAAAACTCCTAGGCCCGCCCCGATATAGATGTCTGCTCTTGTTGGTTGTAAGATGATACGGACAGAACTGTCCCTACGGCAATAGTGGTCCTCTAAGACAATGGTTCTTAACCTGTGGCCCGCGGACCCCTGGGGGTGCGCCATCTCCTCCCAAGGGGTCCGCGAACTTTTAATCACTAATAACAACCAATTAAGAAAATGCACTATGTTGTAATAATGTAATCTATTGTTTATCTTTCCAAATTTACATTTATTGTGTAATTTACAATTAATATTTCAAACCCATATAAATTGGGACTTCGCCGCGTTTTAGTCCTCTGGCCGCCCCCACAGAGCCTAACGCGAGAACAAGGGTTAGGGATGCGCATTGTAAGTCTGTAGTTAGCGACGACGGCATAACAAAAAAACACGCTACTTTATGATGTATGCTTGAAATATTTTCTTTAGAATTATTTAATTTAACTGACAACACACAAACCTGATGGCAGTTCTTCTCTATTCGGTACTCCGTTCTGTATAACGGAAGGCCTGTAGTTCGACCTATACCCTGGATTGTTTATGGTCTGTGAATAGGAGGGTGGAAGTCCTCTTTGTCTGACGCTCATGTCCAGTGGCGTATCGGTCGCCACTCCATTCGACGTGTCGTTAGACGTTTTGGAGCCGACTCCATTGCTGCTTATACCGTTCGAGGGGACGTCCGCGTTGGACGGCGGCTCCAAACCGAACGTCTCTGAAAATTTGGGGTCCGACTTGCGGGAGTACTCGGGCAACCGTGACCGACGGTCCCGTTTCCACTTCGTTGTCTGCTTTTGGCAAGACTGTTTGGATGAATCGTCTGCAAAGGAAAGTATATGTAAAATACATTTTAAGGATTGAAAACTGTTCTTTAATTTTAAATAAATTGTCTTTATACAGGAGCAACCCCACAAACACTAAGAAAACTTTCCTCAAGTAAAAATAAGCAAGAAAGTTTATGCAGACCTAGATTTGGAAATGCACCGTTTCATAGAGCTTTTATGAAAAAAAAATAATATGGGCTAACATTACACAAGTGGGCTGCATATGAATGGTGAATGTATGTCTTCGTACTTCCAACCGATAAAGAATGACTTAAAAATGCTATGAAAGCACGATTTATCTTAACTGATGACATTGCAGGAAATGCGAGTAACTCTGCGAGTTACCTGCCCTAACCAGCATTGAATTATACTTGCAATATCTAGTAAACAGTTAAGATCGTTCATCAGTCGAACCACCAGATATATACCAGTTTCAGTCTTATTAGTCTCTATCAGCACGCCACAGGTGAGACAGCTGAGAACAGCTGAATCGTTCATCAGTACTGATAAGTCACAAACTGATATGTCTGGTGGTTCTACTGACGAACGATCCTTGCTGTTTACTAGATATTGCAGGTACGCGTACAGGTATAATTCAGTGCTTGTTGTGGCATCCCTGAATATCATCAATTAAAATTATTTATTATAGCATGAATCAATGTCAGCCTTCAGACTACGAACATAACTGTACTTTTTTTTAAAGAAGAAAATAACATACTTCTAATTTCAATGCAACTTCTTTAAACTTTCAAAGTTTTCTGTAATTCCGTTTGTTTCGAATCACTGTCTACATGTCTAGTGGTCGCGGTTTCAATTAATTATTAAAATAGAATAATGTTGTATTTTGCACTTGAGACACTGACACCTAACTTGTGTGCAAAAATATGAAATTAACATGAATTTGATAAACAGATACGTCATAAGAAGAAAAGTAAAAAAGAATCCCTAAAATATTAATTAAGATTTTTCTCCATTGTTTTCCAGGAAAAATATAAGCATGACATTAGCTTTTGTAATATACTATACTACTACTATATTACAAATATCAACACACCATTTCCACTTTCACAAACCGCAAATTGGGTACAGGAAAAGATTTAAGCTAATTCGTAATAATACACAGATACGCTATCTACAGCAAAAGCTAAACCACAACCTACTGAAACATGTAATAACTCTTCTATTTAGCAATAATGCATCGTTCTTACTAGCACCTATGTTCTTAAATTACCAATGGTAAAATTTGAAAGAATTTCCGAAATTTTTCCGTGATCCACACTGTTGTTAGGTGAAAAATGGTCGTATCGGGAATTTAAAAAAGGCATTTTGAAGCTCTAAGATTCTAATTTTTAGATATTTCGCTAGAAATCTCTAACCTCTCCTTCAGTTTTACAAAACACTGTACGAGGATATCTTTGTAAATCTGGATTATTAGCTTGGTAAATACGACTTGCCAATAAACAGTTATCATGAGCTTATTTACTACACCATATTTACTAATTCTTCTTTGGAGTAATTCATTTCACAATTGTTACTGTAGCTTTTCTATTAAACCTTATGTGAATCGAAAATTTTCCAGATTTTCCTTTGACAGAAGCCTACTATGTTATTTTACATACAACGTGTCCCAAAAGTATGGAAACAGCACAATAACTTTCGAAATATGCATTTTGAAGAAAAATGATTCAGACAAAAGATTTAGGATTTTTCCCTCGCTATTCAAATTTAAATCTAGATTTGACCTTGACCTTCAAGGTTATTTCAAGGTCAAGTCAATTTTTTCAAATAGGATGCCCTACTTTTGACCCCGGAAATGAAGAGAGGAAAATTTTACGTTCAGATATGTCATTTACGCCAAATTTGGTATAGAGGGGTTTTTGGGGTCGCTGACTACGAATCTGAAATTTGTTTTTGAGGAATTTTAGTCCAAGATGGCGGACGCGGTTCCAAAAACTTAACCGATTTACGCCAAATTTGGTATAGGGGGGGTTTTGGGGTCGCTGACTACGAATCTGAAAGTCCAAGATGGCGGACGCGAATTCAAAAATCAACCGATTTTTGCCAAAATTGATATAGTGCGGTTTTTGAAGGTGAGGGTCACGGTCAAATCAAGGGTCACCGTCAGATAGCCAGGGAAAAATCTTACAACGTTAGTTATGGTATTTTTTTTGCAACCCGCGCCAAACCATGCGTGACCTTGATTTGACCTTTAATGACCATCAGAGGTCAAATTCGGAAAATGGTCAAGGACATATCTGAACGTAAAATTTTCCTCTCTTCATTTCCAGGGTCAAAAGTAGGGCCCATTTGAAAAAATTAACTTGATCTTGAAATAACCTTGAAGGTCAAGGTCAGGGTCACCATTGAATAGCCAGGGAAAATCCTAAATCTTTTGTCTGAATCATTTTTCCACAAATTGCATTTTTCGAAAGTTATTGTGCTGTTTCTATACTTTTGGGATACCCTGTATAAGCTATTTGTAAACTTCGCATTTTTTCATAGAAATTAGATTTCATGAAAAACTAATGAATTTTGGTATAGGATCAGGTATAGCAAAGTTGTAGGGAATTTAATTCTGCATCTCATGGTATGAAAATATACAGGGTGATGCATTTAAAAAATTCGAGATTTTTCAATTTTTCAATTGGCAATTTTGACGTGATAGTTTGGTCACCCTGTATAACGCAGGCCAGTTTTTTGAGCATGATACGGAAGAGTCATCCTTACTAAACATCTGATAATAAAATGGGCTCAGTAGCTAATAGTATAACCTGTCAGTATCATAAAACGTAAGCAGCCAATATCGACTAGAAAAACCTTTCAAGCGAGATATCTCAAAAACTGTGAATATTTGAATTCTACACAAAGTACCCTTTATTTTTGATGTAGAATCCGAAAATAATATAAAAAATGTGTTTCCATTAAAAAAAACAAGGTTGATGTCTGGCCAGGAAAAGTGGAACACCCTGTATAGTTGAATATATTTTTAATTTGTACATTTCGAGAAATGTGGCAACACAGTAAAAAGAAAAATCCATATATTCCTCATTTTAAGATAGATATTGGATTTCCCGGACACGCTGTGTAATAACATATTTTTCAAAACAAGAAAAGAAAAAGCGAATTTAATACCAAGGAGAAACAAGTCTATTTATCATATTTTAAATAGGGTTTTTCATAAAAGTGGCAACAGTATTAAATAATAAAGGTAAAGAAAACACAATTTGCCATTTATACCAAAAATATAGTGTTTAGAAATCGCAAATATATAACGATAGAATGCAATACTAATAAATATTTTCAATAATCAAATTCATTGAAACTACAAAATAAAATTAATAATATTCAAAATTGTTAAAACTTATTGAGAACCTCTGGTATCGTCCCCGAGCTACATACATAATACATGAAAAGAGGTGAATATTTGTGGCCTTAAATGGTGTGTCGTCCGCTTTTTTGACCAGTTTATTTGAAGCAATCAGAAAAATTACTAATTCAATTTTAACTTTCATTGCGAAAACGTGTCTTTTATTATCAAAATTTTTATTGAACAAATATTTAAGTTATTTATTTTACTAAATCCTTAGTTTAACTGTGTTTTCTTTTTGAGAAAGGACAATGTGTTCATGTAGTGTGTGTATTATTAAAATGGCCAATCAAACATAGATCAGACCGATCAGACGATGTTTAGTTTCCGAAGAAGTGGTGGCTTTTTAAGACTGGACAAATAAAAATTTACCTTTTATCTTTTATAGACAGGTGTGAACCAGAAACAGTCAGGGATGGGCAAAACTAGGAGTTAAAGTAACATACCTTACGCATCTTGATTTAAAATTTAGACTTTTTTTAATAGAAAATGTCTTACATTTTATTTAAAATTACTAAGAAAAATGTTAACTTTTTTGTGTAAGTCCAACTTTTATATTTTGGTTATTTTGGTTTTAAAAACGTAAGAAAATGTCACATCAAGAAACATGAAACAAAATTATATTGTAGTAAACAATTACTCTGGTGACTAAAGCTCTGTCCAGTATAGAATTGCATCTATCCGCAATACCTAGTAAACAGTTTCCTGACTGAAATTTTCTCATATTTCAGAGAGTTCTATGACCAATTAAAGTTTAGTCTGTGCAGATTAAGGACACCCTGTAGATATATTGGGTGCAAAAGATGATTCCGCTAACTTGAATTAAAGGAAAAGGGAGTGCCAAATAGCCTCAGGAGAGAAGGGTCACACAAATATCGTGCCGGATGTGGATATTCCACTTCGTTTTCAAAGCCAATTTGTTATGGTCGGCCTTCGTAGGTCATCACGTTCGTACGGTCATTAAAAAACATCGCTGCACGCATCCCCCTTAAAGCCCAGATCATTGTGAGATACATAAGGCGTGTGTGCCAAGAAACATCACAGTTATTTTGTTTACGACTTGGCAAATATTTTCAATTGAAAAATTGCGCCACGAATTTGCCAGCAAAGTAATGCGACAGAAGCTGTAGCAATTTGTGCGTGTTAATACTAATAGCATAGTTGTATGCAACTACATACTCAAATCTTATTATTATTTAATGTCGGAGTTTTCAGGTCACAAAAAAATGTATAAAAATGTACGCAGCATAGTAAATTTTACTGATGTCTTGCTTATTTATACACTAGCTCACATAATTGCAATGTTTACGTAGATACAACTGGTTTTATCAACTTTTAATTTTTCATTAATTCTTATTAAATACTAATGATAAATTTAACCAAAAAAATTAGCTTTCCCATTTGATTATTTATTGTATTGATAAACATTACTATTAAGGCGTACGCTTTTTTTCATGGTAATTGGTAATCTTGAGAAATGCATTTTTTTACGAACAACTGAAGATAATGAAATTCTAAACAGGATTATGTATTTTCAATCTGTCACACATACATTCACATCGTCCGATGGCGCACCATTTTTTTTTCAGAAATAAACCACACTCCTTTAGTTCCAAGACTTTTTCTATC